AGTAGCAGTAGCAGTAGCAGTAGCAGTAGCAGTAGCAGTAGCAGTAGCAGTACTAGTAGATACTAGTAGTATCAGTAGCAGTAGCAGTAGCTCCAATTAGTAGTAAGAGCATTAGTAGTAGTAAATAGTATTGACGTATGAACACTGTCAGTAGTTCTTGTCGTCGTAGCCCTGGTGATAGTGTAGTGATACTCTCAGTGTTAGACTTTTGTTGGTCTTGGTCAACCACCTTTCCCGTTGCACGCCCGGCAGTACTGGTCGAGTAGTTCTTGTTCCGGTCTTTTTTTCGGTGAGGCGTAGCTTGTGTTTTTGTGTCCTTGGTGACATCGTAGAGCTTCTAAAGTTGCTGGTGATTGCTTGCATGCTTTTTTCACTGCTTTTGACAGCTTGAATGCTTCGATTTTGGATAGAATGCACTGTCACTTTGCCGCTCACTTCGTCCTCTGACTGACCACTGTCGGAAAGATGCCTTCGGATGACCTGTTAAGCTGCATTCTGTGACCTACTTGGTGGGTCCACAGGGTCCACATCCGCCAAAAAAACTGCGCATGGCAAGGTCCAACCCTGCACCAGCCTCCTGGTGCCTGCCAGCCTGGCACCTTTCCTCACCGGTTTGGATGAGGCGGGAGACAAACCATTGGGGCCAACGTTTATTGCGCACCGGCGAAGACGAAGGTGCCGTGGTTTATTGCAGCCAACGTTCTGAGTGTGGCAAGTTGGTGCATGTCTTCAGAGGCAGCGAGCAAGGGATGTGATGCCCGTGTTCTCGCTGGAGGAAAGTTGGGGCCTAAGTGATCAGGGCGATGTTACCAGGACATGTGAGGTGACCCTAACCAATCAAGTGCTAAAAACAGCTTTGCTACGTATGCTTGCGGGGTCGCGGTCGTCGTTTAAATCAGGCACTCAGACACTCATGTCTAAATTAACTCCAAAAACATCCCATCAGAATCACCGACAGACAAAAAGCTTTTGCATCGGTCCCAATAATACATCAGGTCAGTGTGCAAGTATGACTTCGCCAAAGGCAGAGGTTTGCCAACAAAGCACGCCCACTTTGCGTGGTCACACACCAGACATGCTTGACTCCCGGCCGGACAGAGCAATATATACACATATAGAAGATGAGTCTTCATCTTCTGTCCGTTTTGAAAGCTCACTAGGAGCAAGGACGCTACTAGGGGCTCCTCGGCGTACTACTAGTAACAAGAAGCTACGAACGGAGCTCCTGGTATTGCTACGAACGGAGCAACTTGGACTTTCTTCTGGCCAACAGTCCTTTGGCAGCTCCGAGGCCAACCAAGACCAACAACCTTGTCCTTTGGGTTTGCTCCAAGACCAACCCTCATGTTTCCCGAGTTTTCTGAGCAGAACAAAGGATGCGTTCAAAGCTGCCGAACCCAAAGCAAGCCAACTGCTCGTAGAATTGCCCCATGTGTGTCTTTCTTTTTTTTTCAGAGGACGGGCGGCGGGAGGTGCCTTCAGGCAGGTTAAAGTTGACGAAGTGGTCTTTACCAGAAATTAATACACCATCTTGACTTTAGGGGAGCTAAATCCACAGAACTGCAGAAACCTCTCTGCATGAGAACCCCTGCCCATGAGTGACCCGACCAGTCGTTTCTTTAGACCCCCCGGAATCAGACTGTGGGAGCGTATGTCCGGACGTGGCCTCCCAAAATGCCGGGGGGTTGGTGCTCCCCCTGACAGTATCTTACAGTAGGTTGGGTAGATGAGTCCCACAGTTGCATAGATTGGTGGTATCATGTGTCCATCAGTTTTAGGTCTTAGGTGGGGAGTTTCTGCGTACCTTTCATGGTTCTGTTTGACAGGTGACTGACACTTCTCGGAGGTGACTGACAAGTCACCATCCTCCGAGTCCCTCTTGGCGAAGTCGTGGAACGCTGGCATCGAGTCCGTAGGCGGAAGTTCCAAATTTCCCTGGCAAACAGCCGATCTCAAACTCACCGGTGGTCATTTTCTCACTTAAACCGTGGAACTATGCAGATGTCATATGAGGGCCGTCCGTTATTGCCAGTGAAGGAATTTAGATGAAATGTTAAAACATACATGTCGCGAAAGGGAAACTGCAGTCCGCGAAAGGCCGGCGATAGGACGGCGAAAGACATGTGCCAACCTAGACTCATAACATACAATGTGCATAACATTACAATACATGACAATACACGACACATCCTTTTTCCCGAACAGAAACACGGATTTTCGCGAAAGGGCCGCGAAAGGCCGGCGGTAGGCCCGCGAAAGGGCGCATTGCCTGGAAGGGCAAGTGCTCATCCATGGCCTTGAAACCTTTGTTTGGATATCCCAAACACTGTGAACTCAGTGCAATGGAACAAGCTTATCACAATGCGCGAAAGGAACGCCTGTGGTTTTTCTGCAAACGCGAAAGGACCGCGAAAGGCCGGCGATACAAGCTCAAAAAGAAGAGCTTTGTTGGACAACCCCCATATGATCTTGAGTTCCCTCAACGTCGAGATTGAAGCCCCATAGATAACCACCCAAAACCCATCCCACGGCAGACATGGTTCATCGACACAGATTTGCCGAGTTGGTTCCTTCTGGAGCTCCGTGGCACTGCGCAGCAGCGGCTCTTGGGGGCACAAGCGGCACACGAGGCCGTGGAAGCTGCTGCGGCGGAACGTGACTCTGCAGCAAAGAAGTCTCGAGGTTTTGGGTGGGAGGCCATGGCTAGTAGGTTGGAGGCCATCGCTGAAGCGACCTGAGAAACCCAGTCCAGAATGGACTAATATGGACGTATTATGTGCAAAATGAAACATATTCGTAGAACAGGCCAACCATTTTGCACTTGGCATTGTGCGTGTAGCGGTGAGCGTGCGTAGGGTTTTCAGAGTGAAGTGA